AAAACTGAACATCTGTGTAGAAAATATGTTCTTAAAACATCACACAAGAATAAAAAAATAGTAGATCCAGAGTTTTTAAATATATAATTAATTGCCCCACAGTGAGGCTGATATATGTAAATGACTTCACTTTTGTCCTTTAGGGGAACCTCCCTCTGGTTGTCCATTTGACTCCCCACACCTCCTACTGAGCCTGGCTAAGATCAGGACACTCGTAGCTGCCCTGATCAAACATGACATTACACTGGAGGGAATTACAAGCTCCTATTATAACAGAGAAGGTCACGTCCAGTTGTAAGTCGTGACAACTGACTCTCCTGGTTGTTCACAGAGAGCAGGGCACTGATATTACTTTAAGAATTAATGCAATGACATTATTGTGAGCACCATTTCCCAGCTCCCCTTGCAAAAGCGTTTGTGATTTGAAGGTTATGTTTAATCAAACCTAGAACCATGCAGTAAGTATTAATACACTGTGAAAAAATTGAGTTATGAAAAATGTATAATGTTTGGAGTGTTATAGAAACAAACAGGGTTTACTCCAAAACTGTGATTTGCCTTCAATAAATTATCAAATATGTATTATATAAGTAAGTCCAGGAGCATTTGTTTGCTTTTTCTGCAGGTAGTCTCTCTATCTATTATGGATGTACACATCAAAAAAATAATAATTATCCCAAATAAAACCACAATCTCCTCACTTTTTATTTATTTAAACAGCTCTGCTTTTCTAAATCACTGCCAAAAAATAGTGGCGTCGTTTGAATTCCTGTTGAATTTAGTAACAACACAGGCCACACCCTGGACTAGAACCCAGTTTATCAGAAGACCTTCTATACCAAGCAACCCTGGAACCTACACTCATTTATTCCTCATTTAAATCACCAGAGAAGAAGCCTCCGTCCATGAACGTGTAGCTTTGTCTCTAAATCTTTTCTTTTCTGCTGCAAAAGTTCAGATTAACGCCATGAGCCTTAACAGCTCCACAATACAAACTATTTCATTTTTGTTTCATCGCAGTGTATGCAAACAAATATTGGTGATGCCTATCGTCAGGCGAATCTTTTCTGTATAAAAACGGGCATTGATTAAAAAAAAAAAAACCAACAACAAAGAACTGCTCATTCAACAACAAATACAAGATACCCACTATTATCTCTAGAGCAGCAGTGGTTGCAGTTATTCCCATAAGGTATAGAGAGCTCATATTATTTGCCTCAAATAGAAAATCAATTCTTGAGCAGAATATTTTCTGCTTTCAATATCCTCAAGAAGTAGCTGCCTTCAGATGACCTCAATATAAAGTCCCTGTTTACCATCTTCTCACACGCTATGTATTTATTCAGTGTCGGAGAAGATTTAATGGCATAAATTTCGACATGCAAATAACACACACACATCTAGGCTCACACACACAGAGACGCACAGAAACTTCTATCGCAGTCAAAGAGATATATTTAAACATTAATTCCTTAACTTGCAGTACTCGCAGTATTCAAATTAAAAGTATGTTTTCCATTCTTCAGTCATGTGTCATGGGTGAATAGATTGAGCTCCTGTCAGGGCACAAAGCTCTCCTCACAGGACCACGTTGCCTCGTCTGTTGTTAGGAACAGGTCCACATGGGGCCAAATTTGATTGGAAAGCCCAAAGGGAGGAGTCCTACCAGTCACAGGGGCATTGTTAGCGCCTCCAAAATGGCCAGAGAAGAATGACTGATTATGCAACCACAGCCAGGGTTACTAATAGGAATTCTATTTGAATTTCTAACATAACAGATGTTTGCTGGGCACCTCCTCGGAGCGTGCATACACAGTTATGCTAATTTGCCAGTGTTTCCCTTCAAGTTAGCTCGGAGTCATTAGAGCACACAGCTAGCTTAGATCCCTCTGTCAAACTAATAATTGGCCATTATTGATATTAATTAACATTTTTGCTCTCTATGTCCTTTTTGACCCGGGATCTGTTAGTAAATCCAGTTACTGAGGCCTATTAGGGCAGAGAAATCCGCAGGACTCTATCGCAGTCTCGAGCCATTTATCAGAAGGAGAACATAAAGCCAATTAGGAATGGGTGCAGACAGTTGTCTTCATTCTCCACTGACTACTTCTTGATCTCCATTATAAATTGCTAATACGGCAGATACTGGTTGGCCGAAGAGAGGAGGAGCGGTGGGTAACCATTGCTCACCCCCGGCTGCGATGACAGACGAAAAGGAGCAGTAACAATATTCCTGCATGATGAGGCTACACCATCATCAGCTGTTGGGGGGCATCACTGTGCACCCTCCGCTCCACAAATGGTCAATCATGTTAATTGGCTTTTGGTAAAAAAAATAAATAAATAAAAAGAGAGCTATTAAAGTGTTGATGGTTCATCCACCAAAAATAATAGCTTTTGATCTCACTGTTATTATGATGCGATCAGCACTGGGAACGCCGTACACCATAGCTTTATGGGCTCAGATCAAGAAATCCTAATAGGTGTGTATTGACTGCTTTGTTTCCCGCAGAACTCCAAAGGGACTGGTGGTTGCGAGAAAATATATCAAAAAGGCTATCAACTACACTGGGGTGTTGTGTGTAAAATCAATAGTGAACCATAGATGGCTTGAGTTTTCACAGTTCTCTCTCGTCATTTAAAGGGACTCTAGGTTATATGGTGCCACAGAGAGACAAAGACCCCTGAGGTTTTGGTAACACGCAGCTCTGATCTGTTTTAATTTTGGTGAAAAAACACCGTCGGCTGTTGTTTTGATCTTGATGGCAGCTTATTGTTGCTCTCGTCTGACACGGTGGGAACGAATCGTTCTGTTTTTCTGGAGCAAAAACAGCCTCAGCAGCACGGGGGATCATGACACGTTGTTGAAGGCGGTAGCCTAACATAACCTACCGTGTGTTGAATTACAACTTGTGATCCTGCTCTACCAAATCCAGATGCTACCGTGGCAGCGCGACTTTTACGACAAGAGGAATAGCAGTCCCTTTAAAGAGCAGTATTTAATAGCCTGGATTCAAGTGTAAAGGCTCTCTCCCCTGTGCATTACTCCAAGAACCTAATTACAAGTTTCATCATCAATCATCAGCATTATTTATTCAGTGAAATGAATTTCTAATTAATAACTGATGAGCATTATGGCCTTGAAGACTGTAAAGCAATTAATTATGGCTGGCAACGGGGAATATCCCTGTAAAGGACTATCTGGCACACAGTCACAGCACAGCAGTGCCAACAGGGTAATGTCCACAAAGAAGAGGCACAGGATTGTTTTTCTACCTCAGCTTTCTTCAGATAATTACCTTCATAAATGTTGTCGGGGGCTGTCGTGCTGCTGGTGATGTAATTAACACCAAAAAACTATTAAACATGTTTAATACTGTCATTTCTCTCAAATCTCTAACCTCACAGAGAGTTTGTAAACGTGTGTGTGTGTGTGTGGCTGACTCCCTGCTGTTCTATACATTGAGGTTTGGCTTCCTGTCATTCTAGTTTACAATGATTTATGAAACTGTATAATTAACTGCAGTAATTTGTACCATTAGTGTCAAACATATGGCCCGGTGGCCGGATGCGGTCCACCATCAGGTCTCACCGTGGCCTTTAAGGTGTTTTCCTCTGAAGAAAATTCGCATAAATGAGGCCAATGAGAAAGACAAGTGACAGTAGAGTATGTACACCGTGTTTGTGTTACTGTAGTTTTAAAACATGATATGGAATTTCTTACATACTGGTAGCAAGATTCTTAACACCTGTATTTAAAGACAACAATACTTGTAGCTAAAATTGGCTAATAATACTAACAGCAAGCTTACAGTATAATTACATTAAATTAAAATTACAATTAAAAAATGTAAGGACAACAATTATTGAACTTTGACAAACAAAAGAGAAGGCTAAAGAGAAGGCCCATACGACCCAGGCTTTGTACAATAAGTAGCCAGAAATTTAAAATTATAGCTCATTAGTATCATTATTATTTACATGCATGATGCGATCGTGACTGGCTATCATTAAATATGTCACTGAATTAAATCCCGTAAACAATATTCAACATTTTCTCCATCAAACCAGTTTTCCCCATTATTACAGAGCACTGCGTGACCGCAACAGTGCCGTAATAAATGAATTATTTTAATTTCACTTTTACTAACTCGCTAATAACAGTGGGTCAAACAGAGATCGATTAAAATTAAGGCAGATAATTGCCCACTTTTATTCAGACAATACATCACATCAGAATGGAGACAAGGGCGATGCAGAGAGGACGTCAGACTGATGATAAATAATAAGGGGAGGCAATAATTCTTTCATTTACAAAATGGAAATCAGTGAAGCAGAGGTTTAATTTATCTGCCGTTTCAATTCAGCATGTTTTTTGTGCGTATTTGTAGCACTTTTACTTCTGTTTTCTTCGTATATTTATCTCACACACAAACACTTACACACAATCTCAACTCTATCTGCACAAAACAGAGATGGATTGAGTCATGCATGGATGTTTGAAACATTCAGAGCAAACATAATAAATATGCATGACTATAATGCTGAGTTGCAGCAGTGAAATAATAGGTATGACTTTTTTTCTCAGGTTTGGAAAGACAACAGGACGTGAGCATGTCCTCTAATTCGGTCTAATGTTGTAAAATGTTGAAAACTGTGCTGGAAGTAAACGTGTCAAGTTCAATTCTAATAACATTATAGTGTTTTTGAAACTGTGCTTGGGAAGTAAACGTGTCAAGTTCAATTCTATCAAAATAAAAATGTATAACCTTGAGTTCATCACATTTTTAGTTCTTTTGTGGAAACATGTCTTCTGTTTTTGCAATCTGCAGGACTGCTGTTCAAAGGAGCCTTGAATTATTTGTAAATTTAACTCGTCAGTTACATCTCATCCTCTATTTGCAGTCAGTCAGGATTGTTTATCAAGACAACAACAATTTTACATACTCACTACAAAATGTTTTTAAAACACACCAAAGTTAGAAATGAACGTTGTTTACCTTGTTGATTTTTTTACGTTTCTCTTTTCTGCACAGGACGAGGAACATTCCAGTGGACTCGTCACCCGCAGGAAGGTTCGGGGGTTGGTTCGGTGATTTGGGTGGCGACTGCTGCCCCGCGACCCGGTAACGGACAAGCGGATGAAAATGGATGGATAAATGGATGGATGGATGGATGTAGGCGGGAAGTGTAAACAAGACGCCAGGAGTTTATGCATTCTGTAAGAATTTACATCGTTAACCTTTAAGGTTTGTTTATTTGCTTTGCTACTGAATTAAATGATTGCTCCTCACTTACCATGTCGGTGTTGTTAACAGGTAAAAACTAGGCGGGAAGTGTAAACAAGACGTTAGAATTAGCAGCCACACGGCTAAGCTGCTTTCTTAATACGGACTCCTGTTTTTCACACCTGCGTTGCTAATTAACTGTCCACTGTTCTCATTGGCTGAAGGGACGGAGGAAAACAATCTCTATAGGCTAATAACGTTTGCAGCGTCTTTATCACTATGTAGATTTTGTGGCGGAAGCACAGTTTACCTCTGTCGGTATTTGCCGTAGAATTGCCCTATAAAGTAGAATGAAGACGCTGTAATACAATGGTCAAAAGGTGATTTGATTTAAATAGTTTAAATTCAAATGGCTATTATAACATTTTCTTGCAGTAATTCAACATGATCCATGTTGAAGCACCATAACTTTATGTTAGCATACACATTTTAATATGTTTGTGTTTGAATGAGAAAGAAAAGGCAGCAAATACTTCAACCACCAACACAGTCTTGTATGATCCCATTTAAAAACACTGTTATTGGAAAAGTATGTTATTATTGACCTGTAAAACTATTTCATATTTTAGGGAATAAACAAGGCTACTGCAGCTAGCCCGTCAGTGACTGACCAGTCAATCTAATATTTTTAACATTTTCTCGGCAGTCACTTTCTCCAACCCATAATGCATTACTTGTTCCTAAAAAAGAACTATATAAAACAAATGCGGGTCATGAAATGCATTATCTTCAACACACGTGCTTTATGCCCAAAAGCACAAGCACACCAAATCTGGTAATAAGTCTGGATGTAAATTTAAAAGCAGTGTTTGAATAAATAAACTTTAATGATTTTGACCTAGATTAGTTCGTCTGCTAATGCTTAATCTTTCTCAGGGTCAGAGGGACAGTAGTAGGACGATCAGCCTGATCAGTCCATCACTGGACCAAGTACTTCGTTCACACTCATCTGACATGGTTTATTGGAACACAAGAACATACACACTGGAAGAACCGGCAAACTACATAGAGAAAAGCCAGTGGTCCAGTGGTCACAGCAGTGGCATTTATGCTGCGAGGTAATACTACAGTAAATTGTAGTTGTGAGGTCTTCAGATGTAAAAAAGCGAGCCGACCTTAACTTCTCCTGTCATCAGTATCAGACAGTTCCAGAACTCCTAGCATGAGATTGTAGCGCGTGTTGCCTGCTGTGTAACAGTTTAACACGCTTGTGTTCTACTCCCTGCTCTTAATGGACTCATTAGCTGAATGAGCGAGTTGTTGTAGTCGTCAGGAGTCAGCGGGTCAGTTCATTATACATTATTCCACTCTTACAGCACTGCCAGGTCACCACTGGAAGCACAGTCTCCATGTCATCTTCAGGATGAGTGAGACACACACGCGCGGGGCCTGAGCACACTCCATAACTGTTCCTCCCCGCAGGTCTTCAACACTTAGGTGGACGCGCACGGGCGCCCGTGTGCGTGAGCACACCGAAAGCTGCCGTCTCTCCATCTGGTAAAGTGGGCTGTTGTGATTGATTTGTGGATTTGCTCCTTCTTTTTTTCTCTCCATTTAAGTGAAATAATGTATGGAAGCAATCTGGCAACAGACATTTTGGAAAATCTATTTGAAATCATTTCAGCTGAAGCCATGGCAGTTTGTCTTCTTAGGGGAGAGGAGCAAAGTATAATTGTCTGCAGTCTAGTAAAACACAGTATAACTGCCATCACACTTGACTGAGCTTATAGCCAGCTAGTCCCATGGCCTCTAGAAGATAGAGCAGTTAATGTTCCCTTTTATTTTAGCGGATATGTCACTTGTATCGCAGATTTATACCATGATACAGCAATTTTGTCCAAACAGATGGATAATGGTGTCAGCAGCAAAAAGCCCTGTATTTTATTGAGTTTGGAACATATTGTTTAGATAGGGGAGTGTGCTGAACAGCTCTGCCAGCGCTTTCTCTCTTTATCTCTCTAATCTTGCCAGTATTAGATTTGATCATTTTTGTTTGAAGGAGGAAAATGTGGCTGTAATGGCTTCCTAATAGCAAACACAGGGGATACAAATCCAGGGACCCTGTTCTGTAGTGCTTCCATAAGCACCGCTGATTTATAGAGGTCTTTATGACAGAAAGGAAAATGATCTGCTGCAGGTATAAATCAGGTGAGGAGTAGGAAATTGAACTTAGATATCATCTTGTCAGATGCTTAATGCTCTTCCTCCTGTCACATTCGATAGGGCCAATTTGGAGAATCCTGCAGAGGTAAAAAGAACACAATTAACAATGACAGTGCGGTAATAGATGAAGCCATAAAATGAGCATGCCGCCTGCAGGATGCTTTGTATGATTTCCGCGCGAGGAAGTAGCAGGGGTGTTCTGTCCCCGCTTTTTATTTCTCCTCCTCCGCTACACTCTGTTCCTCCAGTCTGTTTTTAGTAATAAACATTATTTTCCAGTTGTGTGCAATGTTCAACTAAAACAGCAAGAAATGCTGTGTGGGTAGGGGGCTAAAGTTGGGGGGCGGGGGAGGGAGTTACCTCTAATGCCCCGGGTCTGTCCTGTAATTGAATTATGATGCTGCAATGAAACAGGTCCTGTTTTTATGTTATCGATTCCGAGGGCACGTTGCCTCCAAGCACAACATAAAATGAATCAATATATCAATTGTCAAGCACAAAAAATTACGTATGCAAAGGACTATTAAAAGCACAAAGTGCCCAAATAAATTCTGTAACTGTGTTGGGAGGTAAACATCTGAATCAAGTTTCTCGCGGTTTTAAGGCCCCGACATCTGAAAGACACTGACAAAGACTGATGACCTCACAAGGTCGCTGCGGAGCTCAACCAATTACACAAAAGCTTCAACGTAGTCCTAAAAGAAATTTGAATTTTTCAATCACACTGTTGGGAACATTATTTAACTTGATTTAAAATATTGTAGTTAAAAAAACCCCAAAAAAACCAAAACAAATCAGTGGATTTTCACCATGCACAATCAGGTCTTTGGATGGAGTTTTCTTACCACGTCAAAAAAAGTTAGTTTTCAAAATATTTGTCAGATTGTGGCAATTTTTGTTATGCCAAACTTCTGACATGTTTAATACAAAGATTTATGACTTTAGAACCAGTCAGTCATCTTCAGATGTTTTTAATCAAAAACACCAAAACAGATTTTAGAAGTACTGCTTGTTGTCAACGCGGCAGTTAAAAAGTTTGACTTTTGCCATATATTTGAAACTGTTTTTTTGGGGTTGTTTTGGTATTTAAACATCAAACAACAATGTTAAACTCCACAATGTTCAGATCCACGTCCCAGGAGTAGGCGGCCCGGGTCGGTGGTCTGTGGTTAAGGAGTTGCCTGCAGCATCTTTGCTGTCGTGTTGTAAATAGTTCCACGTCTGTGATGTCCTTCTTAAAGCAGAGCGCTCTTGGACTGGAGTCTATAATCGAGGCACAACAGTGGATTGTTTGCTGTAATAATTGTCAAGTCGTATTACACTCAAGCAGATGTCACCACTCTGTGGTGTAATGAGTTCAGGAAAAGGACAGAGAATGACAATGCTCCCTGATCCCTGAATGTCACCGTGGTATAAACTACAGCACACTGCTTTATTGCCAGCATCATGCATTCAGCAGCATTCATTTGGGATTTGACAGATAGAGAACATGAGGGTGAAAAAAAAAAAAACAGAGGCCAATCTAGCCGTCGGCGAGGGTGTGTGTAGGTTTCAAATGACTCGGATTCTAAAAACTAATTTCTCGGAAGCTGATGACCTTTTGTGAGACGCTGCTCAACTTTGTCAAGTGGCAATTCCAGTCCAAGCAGCTGAAGAGTTTTACAGTAATGGCCACAGATCCAGAGCTGGGGAAGCGTCGCCCCTCACAGCTCATCAAGCCAAGCTCTTGTATAATCTAATTTGATTTTAATGCTTCTCTGAAGAAGATTGTGCTCTTATTACTGTGTAATGATGCTGTTGTCAAGAACCAGTGGGGACGTCTAATATCACAGGCATGTTAACTGCTTCTGTGACACTCATCTCAGTGTTTTCTACGTCGTCTCCGGTGCACAATGGCTTACGCTCGACGCCTCACGACTTTGTTGTTCCTCCAGTTGCATTGAGCTCCGTGATTGACAGAAATGTGGTGAATATCTAAACCCCCTCTTCTTTATGAGATACACTATGTCTGATATGGTACTTTTTTGTATTCAGTACAGTAGATAGAGCATAACGATGAAGGTCTTCGCAGAGATGAGGAGAATTCTGAAGTACTGGCACTCGGGGGGCAGTAAATGGAAAAGTGACAAGCCTGGTGCACTTGTCTGTTTTACTTATTCTGGGCCTCTGTTTCATATTCTGCCTCGCACCGTGGGTTATTTTCCTCCAGGGTTCAGGAGGGCACACTCTTCCATTTCTTTAGAAAATTGTTTCGCAGGATTTCAATCTTTGGCTGCGAGATATGACAAAACACAATATCAAGAACACTTATGTATCTTATCTGCCACTTTTTCTGGGTATAAATAAAAGATCAGTATAAATATGAGTCCAGTGGCCTCCGCTGCACCAGTGAGGGATGAGTGTGAAAGGAGCTATGAACCTTGGGACAGCCGCACTGTACATTTTCATCTCTGGCTCAAAATTACCTCCACACTGGGGGCTCCGTATGCCATTTGTTATCCTTGAAAGTCAATTAGTGTTTCCATGATAGCAATTCAGATGTCAGTGTGGACAACGGCAAACAATAAGGAAACAGCTGAGTATTCACATCATGTTAACAGTGTTTCTCTGCATTTTTCATATTAGGCTGCGATGACAGTCAATTAGGTGCAGACTAAAGTATAAACGCGCCAGTAGCAGAGTTGAAGGGCCGTCCCAAATATTGATTTTGCCTAAATTAGCCTTCAATTTCTTTCCAGATGAATCACCAACACTACACAGATGTCTATAATTCGGACCAAGTGTATCACTTTCAAAGACAAAGCTGTCCAACTAAAGATGAAAACAATATTCTTTTTTTTTTCATGAACAACAAACCAACTTCTGATTCACCATTTGTGTGAAATTCTTGGACCATTGTATAGTGTAAAAAAAAAAAGACCTTTAAAATACAAACTGTCAAGACATGATTCAATGCTGTGGAATCAGAAATATTACTCAGACGTACATTTTCCGAGCACAGGCTTCAGAGATGTTTTGTGATGTATTACTTATGATGATGCACATGTGCAGCCTGTGTTTGCTCCACAACCTCCCAACGGTGTTAAAAAAAAAAAAAAAAAAAAAAAAAATCAAAACATCGTCCTATTGATGTTCCATTTTTTTTTTTTTTTACCTCCGTTTGGCACTTGTCAGAGGTCAACCTCAAACAGCATGCAGTGGAATCAGGCGTTACTGTCGATGTCACATTGATGCATTGCAAGGCCCAGGAGGTCATGTCTCTGTAAACATACATTATCAAGAGCCATAGAAGACGTGGGGTGTTGACCTCACCCATAGTTTACGGTGCAGCTTCAGGGGAGATGGGTTATGGGCCGGCGGAGAGCGGCGGGCGTGTTATCCACAATGACTTTTTCATGTTGCAAATGAAGAGGGTCAAGCAATCAGAGAGTGGTCAGGTCTGCGTCAGCACCATTATCTTACACTGTCTGAAATGATCAATGGGATAAAATAAAATGATCACAAGCTCAGATTGGTTGGCCAATGAAAAGGTTGGATTAAAAACATCCTCTGTGATGATATCCTGAGGGGAAAAAAATAGTCCTTTCACAAAAAAACAAATGACATGTTTTTAAGTCAAATGAGTATACGGTTGTTCTCAAATATTTATTTCATATTTATATTTAAACAGTACAGGAAAACAGACCTTCAGCAAATAGATGCCATCATAGTGAAAACATCTCTTCATCGTCTTTATGTAAATGGGTCGACAATACTCTGAGGCAGAGACTTAAAATATACAAGGCACTTAAAGCAGGTGTGCAGTACCCACATAAATCTCCTGCTTTCAAGCAATAAATACACGTATTGTATGTGCATTGCTATTATAGTACCGTGGACGTGTAAACAGTTTGTTAGCTACAGAGCATCCAAGCAAAGGGGTTCGTAAAGGCACTGAAGTGTAGAATAATGTTTATAAATAGTTTGTGTTAAATAAAAATGCATTTCCCACCACGCAAAAAATACTTTCTATAGTTTTCTGCAAACCAAAAACAGCAAAAACATTTTAGAATTCAGTCAAAAACTATTAAAATGGGGAAAACATTTTTTTTCCTATACAGCATCAAAAACACCTTAGCATCATCGATGCTCTGAGTAAGACCATATGTAAACAGACTGGATGTGAAACTGTCACCATGGAGACGACATTTCTACCAAATGCTAGTGCTATGTTTTTAAATACTTAATTCATTACCGAACCCATAAAAACAATTCTCAAAGAGGAGGACGGGGTGCTGTGTACTAGAAGCTGAGTGTCAGCTGCCATGCTATTCCAACTTGCAGCGTTTTCTTAGTTAACACAATATTCAAGCCTGACTCGGATTAAAACGGCAGTCCTGCTGTTTTATTCCACCTCCATGGCAGACAAATCCTGTTCCCCCTCAGATTTCTCAGAGGGCAGTTCTTCTGCCTCGGCAGCTCCGTGGTCGTCAGACACAGAATTTGTCTCTGCTGTCGTCTGTGAGCCAGGCTCTTCTGTGTCCAACTGAGCAGAAACATCAGCGAGCCTGGATTTCACTAAAATCAGGAATAACAATACATTTTAGTCTCGTCTTACAAGAAAATATTCATGGGTGAATCCTTATTTTAAGGCATAATTGTGAAATCTGCTGAAATGTGAACTCACCTAAGTCTGATGGTCCAGTGTCTACATCAGCAGCAGATGGTGAGAAGGGTACTTCAGACGGCATCCTTAGTTCTCCGGCGGGCACAGGGAGAACAGGTGCCTGAGGCCTGGTCTTTCTTGCAGGGTTCAAAAAATAACAATAGGCGCAGCGGAAAGCTGAGGGAACACAAAGTCAAATACACAAAATAGTTTATGTTTATGTCATCGCCCTCGCTGAGGTAGAGACGTAGATAAATATATGTGAAAGTGGGGCGATGACAAGAATGCCGGAGATGCATAAACGTCTCAGATTGATGTGCAGCACTGCTTTGCATATTCAATCTTGGGCTGATTTTGCTTATGAGGGCTGGTGCTGGCTGAGGCATTTAAGATGATTTGATATACTACACTGCCAAGTACTAGAGCGCAGTGTTGGAAGCAGACTGATGGGAACCCTGTTTACACAGAGACCTAAAAGGAGACCTTGTTCTTGAGAAGTCATTATTTTAATCATCATATTTGTAGAGTACACAGAGGAGTCTGGAGAGTCAGGATAAAAGCACATCAATTGGTGCCATAGCTAACAGGAATATATTTAGATTTGAATTTTACAAAGCACTAAAAATGTTTGGATACTAATTTTTTCCTTCAGATACCTTTTTATTCCTTTGGTTTACACTAGAAAGACAGTAAAATGCTAACAGGTAAAACAGGTAAGATGTAAAAAAGCAAACACTGGTTAATAGTTTGTATTTGCAAACAGTTCAAACCAAAGATGACTGGTTAAAAATATAACTTTAGTCATCAGTAAAGCCCCTGAAAAAGACCAAAGTGCTGATTTTAGTACCACATTCTCTTCAATTCAGTATGTGATATCAGGGAGGAATTCCTAAGGATAATCTCTGTGGTGATTTGATGTCACTCTGGGCCAAAATCTTACCAATATACTCAAACTCTTCTTTCAATGCCATTCCATTATGGGACAGACACTGCTGACATATGAGAGCATATCTGTGAAGAAAAAGAGAGAAAACAAAGTAAACACAAAAACAAATACATGAATATGATGGATTCTGGTCAATGCCAGCCCTCATTCTGCAACAACGTCAACAGTCATACAGTATATACTTGACTGGCCTGTCTGCAGTCACCAATACTTAGGATGGGTTTCAATAAATGATGTGCATTTATGTGATATACAGCATTACACATGAGGGTAAAGCAGAAACTGTATACCTGTTCTGAGGGCCATCTCCAACAAGATACTCAACGACCCTGTCCATCGCTCCTCTCTCCCTTGGGAGGACAGGTCTGGCCAGAGGAGGACCCGGAGGATGCATTCCTGTTGAGGTGCAAAGCCAGTGGCATTAGACACTGTCTGCATTCAGAATAAATACTTCAACAAACAGGTTGTTCCCTGCAGGGGAAAAGCTATTTGAAAATCTGAGCCACTGATTCACAGTTTAATTCTCACTCCATGACAAACAACCTGACGATTTCTATTTAAGGCTCAACTCGCTTGCAAAGCACGTTGCAGAATCCCCACTGTGTTGGAGCACAGTAATTAATATAATCTAACATCAAGAGCAATCATAGGAAGATGACTGGTCATTTCTGGGAGACTTGGCAGAGTCTCAGTATCCTGCTGGTTATTAATTTACCAACATATGGAAACTCTGTGGTGACTCTTTGTATCAAATTGCTTTTCACTTTCAATTTTCGACAGAAGCAGGTGATAACATCAAGTCATGTAAAAACATTTGTGAGGTGCAGCTGATGCCAAAGGCAATTTCACCAAGCATTAAAAGACATTTAGTGAGATTCCAGCACCATTGCCCAGAGAACAAACGCAGGTCTGGCTAATTAATCACAGTTAATGTAATCCTGCCTCTCACATACCTCACAGTTGGCATTCCACATGGCAATTACAGCGTGCAGCTTCCTCCAGGAACACACTGCCTTCACTGTTTGCACTTATTTGCATCTTGTATTGAGCGTTTGCAGTCCAGATATAAATGTTATTGAATATTCAAAGGCGCTGCACTCCACAGATGTCTGCTGAATACAATAACTGTTCTACCGAAACTCTCCTTTGTGTTTGCTGTAAAGTGAATTATTAATGCTCGCAGCAAGAGGAATATGTCTTACAGTGGCAGAGTGATGAGTGAACTAACCGCCAATCTTGCCTTGCGTCAAGATCACCGGTTAGTTCACTGGTAGTAACTCATGGTGTACTCATGTGTGCATGTTTGTTTCTTGGGTTTCCAGGTTCCTTCTACAGTTCCAAGAACATACAGATTAGGGTTAATCAGGTCTTAACTGAACACAAGTTTGAATATGAGTTTAAGCGGTTGTTTGTCTCCATATGTGGTTCGGTGACAAACTGGATGCTCAAGGTGTGCTGGCTTACAGCGGATGATTTAGGATTGGCCGTAGCCTCACCCTCAATAAATATCCACTTTATTTATTTCCCATTGTTGTTTTGTCGGTGGCCAAGTTTGGCCTATGAATGAAAATTTCATTCATCATATCAAAAGCTCTTTCTCATTATAATCTATAATGATATCAATAATTTGAACTTTTAAAAGGGTGTGTTAAACTGGCAGTGTAACACTTGCCCCTTTACAGCACATACCACCCTTACAGACAAAACACCACAGAGCCCTGAGAAACCAGGGACACTGGGAGCAAAGGAAGAGTAAATCATACCTTAATCGACCACATTATGATGTGGTTCCCCTGTGTGCACGTAACTCACCAACTCCTGGAACAGGTGTTCCAGGGGTCATGGGCCTCCTCATCAAACTCTGCTGAGCCGCCATTGCCGACAGGCTCCTCTCTGGGGGTCCTCCTGGAGCAGAGTGGGAAGTTCGTCCTGGATAGGTGGGCCCAGAGGCGAGAGGAGGCCGAGTAGCTGCACTGCTTGCAGATTTTGCTGCTGCTGGGGGGGTCTTCTCGATAACGTTGCGGTGGCGCAGCTCTAAAACAGATAACAATGCGGGCTGGTACAGAACGCCAGAGGACAGTGGGGAAATTAATGGTTTCTTCTTCAGAGTGCATTAATACCTTGTCCTGGTTTTGGAGTCATCTGAGGGCCAACTGGTGTAGATTCAAGCTCCTTTACGCATATTAAAAATACAAGGAAAGAGCACATTTAAAAATAGACGACACAAATCCAACAAACCAAGAGAAATGGGCTTATATTAAATAATTGAAAAGAACAGCTTACATTTTTTTTCCTGGAGTCAGGATCAAATCTCTCCAGAATCATTTTAGCGTTTTTGTACGTCTCTGTTTCCATGACCTCATCAAGCTGCAGAGCCAAAACAGATTTAAAGTGTAAGTGACCAGACTCTAATTAATCCAAATCCAAATAATTAGTCAATGATTACCTGATGAAAAACACACATTGATGTTTTACCCTCGTCTACTGTGTAAGAAATGACTAATAAATGGGCCAGCAGGAACCTCAGTAGATTGTACATCTTCACTCAACATTAGCCACCAAATGTTTCTGAATGTTTACATATGATATGAAGAATAATTGCATTCACTACTTCGATAATGGAGAGTGTGAAAATCCATCAGCCCTAATTATTGAAAGTTATTAGACTTGACGGAGGGTGACAAGCAATTTCTCAGATGTATTTCTTTGCAGCACTCGATGCTATTAATTAAAACGTCATTAGCAAGTGGTTTTTACATGATCAACTCACTGTACCATCACACAGTGAGTTTCTGCAAGATTCCACTTCAAGTATATCACAGCAAATGCTTAAAAGATTAAAAAAGGGCAATTATGAAGATTTTCCTACCTTATGGAATAAATTCAATGTTATATATTGTGTATATATATATATGTATATATATATATATAAACATACTGTGAACTTTAAAGAGTATTTTTAATAAACTGAATTTAGTAACTGATCAATTCTTCTAAAAATAATAAATGAAAAACATTTTTCAAAGAATATTAATATTTGGTCAAATGTAAAGGCTGGCTAAAAAAGACACTTGCACTGTTTATTGACAATATCCTCAGATAAAAAAATAATTAAAAAAAATAATAATATATATAGTGGACTAAATGATTGGCGACTACGGTTCATTTTGACATAAAAGTTTTTGCGAACAAACTAAATTTAAATTTGACTTGATATTTTGACTAGAGAATCACTTACTATTTTTCTTTTCTGTCCTTTAAGATCCTCTAATTTGTCATCTGGAAAACAAAGTTACACAATGATATGGACATATAACATGATATGGTTAAAAAAATATAGTTTAAAAAAAAGGTCTTACTATTTTTTTCTGTTCTTCGTGAAAAAATCATTATGAGCATTTTTCGAAGTAACCACACTCTGTAAAGGAATAGAAAATAATGTTTTTTTTTACCATTACTAAAATAAGCAAAACATGCTTTGACTGATTATTGCTGTAATACTTACAACAAGGGAAATATTAAGAAGGGAAGTAACAATATAAGCCGTCCCATCAACTGCTCTGGGAGGTACCACAAATACACAACTATGCATGTGGCCAAGTACAGAAGTGATGAGTAGAAAAGCAGCCGACCGATCCATATCTTCAACTGCCTTTGGTTCTTTTCACTGTATTCTTCAAGAGCCTGTATGTCCTGTCAACACATGAGACAAGGGCTAAATTATTATATCAACATTATCATCCATAGCTACCTTTCATTCCCAATTAGTTAAAAAAACATTTAGTTGTTCTGCAACTTTCCACAGAGACGATGGGATTCTTGTTATGTTTCAACTAATCTCATAAATTCAATGAGAAATAGCCTTTTTGGAATCAGACTTATATAAAAACAAACCAAAGACAGGTGTAAAATCCAATCTTTTTTGTGGGGGCTTCACACGGAAACAGAGATAGCTTTGTCTCTTACTTATAAACAGTCTAGAATTACACCACTGCCTCAAGGTTCCAGTTCAGCTGTCCAAAAATAGTTTGAGGGTAGAACAGCACCTATTCCTGGACTCTATAGTCCCGAAACAACATGTGTGTCTGTCACTCTAGGCCCTGGTTAAATTGGTCTCCAATTCAGTGCCACAGTAGGTCAAGTTTATGTGTGTGCACGTCTAAAGTAACTATGCAAATGTGGTTCATATACAAGATTCCGTCATAACAGATGTGTGTTTGTGAAATATATAACCCTATAACAGGCATGCATACAACAGGAGTTCCTCTGAAACTGTAATGCCACCTGACCCTCTCAATATGTAGGTAAAGCGTTTGATACTCCAAGGACTGGTGCTCAAAAATAGCCCAACATTGGCTCGACTTTAGAAGAGCAGTAAAGCCCCATCAGTCAGCAAATGAGGATTTGGCATTCATTGATGCATCAGCTTTAGCTTGTAGCTATGAGCAGATCTATGTTAGCAAAATAACTCTGTTTTTGTATCATAAACAATGAGCTGACTTTTAAATTATAGCCAACTTTGCAACCAGACATTTTCCATAGACCTTTTAAATTTTAAATACAACATACACATTGTACCCCATGCAGTGATTAGGTAAAAATATAAACTGAATACATGGTGGGTTTTCTTGGATCAAGTAGTCTTTATAAACATCATTGAGCACATTAAGCTGACAGATGCCTCTGGTCACTTTTTTACTCATAATGTTTCATTTGGTTGCTCTCATTGACTGACTGCGGGCGTCTCTGACAACCTCCTGGGATTTGCCGTAAAGCACACCATTTGCTTGAATCAAAACATCACATAAAGGAATAAAAGAGATTATTTAATATATGCTAACTGCAATGCCTTTTGTCAGAGAGAAAAAATATGAATGTAATTTTAGAAGAATTGTATACTTTACAACATATTATTATTATTATTATTACATATTTTTTCTTCTCAGAAGCTTAACTGTTTTTAATGTTTGTCCAACTATCCCTCCAATGACACAACCGAACAGTCCTACTCAACATAGGCAGTAAATACAACCACAATCACATGCAATTTATAAAACTATAACATTTGACAGACTGACAAGAGCGTGGAATTTTCTTTGGATCATTCCTACCTTGTCAATGGCTTCCAGAAGATCTACAGTGGAAGGTTTAGCCTGATTAGAAAAGGAGAGAAAATGTGATTTTCTTTTAATAATAAACTGCCTCTTCAATATTTTTATCATTTGAGAACATTCACAACTATGACGATGACAATGAAATGTTTACAGAATATGAGGTTAACATTCCAAAACAAACCTTCCACCGTGACACTATCGCCCCCATGGCGTTTCTCTTCCTCTGAGTCCTTCTCTTCTCTTCCTATATCCTGTTAACATAGGAATTTAAGTTTTTCAATGGGTTTAATATCATTGTCTTGTATTACAATATAATTTCATGATATTAATCAAATTTGTAGAACTTGTGTTCAGCATGTGTTCAGCCAAACAGGCTTCAGTTTTATACAGTACATACATATTGTCACCTGGTGGCGCTTACTAACTGGGTCAACAGTTAATTGTGACTTATATTGGTATACTGTCAGTAAATATTGTGACATCACAACATGGCCTGGTTTCCATTGTACAATTCAGCCATCAACCACACTTGAGCTTCACATTAAACCCAGACAAAAATTACTTAAATCAAAGCTTTCACGACAATGTGTAGCCTGGGGTCACATATTAAGGCAGTAACATCAGACTCTGTCATCTGCAGCTACGTGTGTACCTGTTTGAAGAGTTCCGTAACACTCCCACAGTAACATGCATTAATAAATAAAGTAACTTCACCAACACGTTTTTGTTCAACTATTCAACATGTTTTTTCGATGAGTAAAAGGCAAAATATTTATATGTCATCAGCACTAAGCAGGAATTAAACCTCTGCTAACTGCAGTTAGCACACTTAACTTATTCCGTTGTCAAGTGGTATTGTAAAGCCATATTAGCTCAGGTCGTGCCTATATAAATTCAAACATGTGCTGAACAACTATGTAACATTTATTCAACAATTACCAGTGCAATGTTTAAAAATAGCGCCGTCAAAATGGGACAGCGACCGTTGCTAACTAGCCGTTAGCACTCAGCAGTTTCAACTTCATCACAGACAGCAGCAAGTGTTAACCAAGCTAACGCGCGTTTAGCCCGAGTTTAAATATCATACAATAGGACCGAGCATAGTAAAAAAAAAGCAAGACTTCAAAGAGGAAAGATTTAAAATTAAATGCAAAGGAGACGGAACTGTGTACCTCTTGACTTGTTTCCAAATTTGTACCAGCTGAGGCAGAACACGAAGTTCTGTCTTGAGGCTTAAACATACACGGAGGAGGGAGTGTGTGTGAGTTCAAATGGGGGAGTGTCCACTAACAGCAGGGACTTGTACGAGCTCGCAATGGACTTCAATACAGCCACTGAAAGTACAGTTAATCTTTGAAAAGCAATGGTGCATAACTGACACATTAAAGCCCCTTTTCCGTCAAGAAATAGTATTAGTTACAGCGTGCTTGAGACAGTACTAGAAAAGCTGAAATAATTATGGTAGACACTTGTGGTGTGAAATATGTACATTTTCAGGTTGGAATTGAAGGATTTTTGCTTTATTTGACAGGAAAACCATGTTATTAAGTATTTCCCACTTATTTAGATAGATTATTTAGAAGTATGTCTTTACGTAATTTTTTATAATCACTATTGGATTTTTATTATATGTTTTGACAGACTGCATTTCACTGTCTTTTGTAACTATTTTGGTTTAGTTATTTTTTTAAGGTTGTGGTGTAACATAACCTATATGTTACCTTTTTGTCTATTTGGGTTAAATTATATATTATCCTCAGATAAAAAATATTATATATATTATTATATATTTCAGGGCATACGTTTTTATTTATATTTTTGCTATATTCGTGAGTGTAGTAGCTATGTGCTTAATTTTTGCTGGAACTATTTTCTGTGTTTTTTGTATAATAAACTTCCTCTTTTGGTATTTATTTGGCTGCCTTTACTATCTATTTGTTGACTTGTTGTTCCTAACTGTCACATTTATTCTCTAAAAGGTCGCTGTGAGAAATGAAGCCAACCCTAGCTAGCATTTAAAAAGGGTGGTTACACCTTTGAACCTTGACATGTTGCCAATCCATAGCAGGACAAGCAACCTTTACCACTAACATACACATGGGTCATTTAAAAGAGTCCAATTAACCTAATCTCAAACCTCAATGTTCAAGGGTTTATAAATGAGGCCTTTCTACCCAAAAAAAGGCCATGGCCCAGAGTAGGACACACAACTGTGATTAACACCACTGACATCCTATGCAGTGTATGAACTCTTGCTAATATGTAGAGCTTTTACTAACAATTTTGATGGTTTTATATGTAGTTGAATTTCAAATATGTACTCTCGGGATTTGCTTAATTAAAAAGTATGTATGAAAATGTATTAAAAGCTCACCGAAGTGGTGGCTAAGGACGCAGACTCCTGTCTAGAAGGTTGCAGGTTTGAATCCATAGCATTTTGCTTTTAGCAATTTAACAGCTAAGCTGAATTTGACTGTAACTACATGTTTCATGTCTGGATTAGATGTTAAACAAGTCTTTTTGCTCATTCTGTAGGCATAGCAGTGGCCAACAGCTACATCTAGAATCACAAATATTTGTTTCCAACTGTTCAATGGAGTCACTGCTGCAAGAGATGGCGACTAGAGACCGACACATAAGAAGGGTTATTTAATTTGCTCTTTGCATGGTACATTATCACAATGGAGAAATACACTCAAATGCTTGGTATTCTTAAGCCCTGGGGAACAAGTAAATCTTCAGAGCAAGGGTCTTTAATGTGTTTCAGGCCAAGGACCAAACTGATGATGTATATTGCATAAAACTGTGTTTTATATTACCAGTACTAAGCTGTTCAAATAACACAGGTTTTTATATCCATGTTTTTTATTTTACACATGATAAGGTTCAGTTAGTGTCTGTGACACTGCCATTTATGACCACAGCCTGTAAACTGGTGATGTGTATGTTAAGACTTTTAATTTGTGTATAAAATATCTGGAAAATTACTGAAAGATTTGTAATTTTAGATCTTTTTGGAGGTTGTTCCATGTCCATGGTACATAGTAGGAGAATGCAGCTGCAACTTGTTTCTCTTTGGTGTTTGGTTCTAGTGTTGGTGTGTTGGAGAATATCTTACATAATTTGACATGTAAGTACTGGCCTACATAAAACCTCAGGCTGTTGTATGTGTCAGGATTCTTCATTCATATGATGTAGATACTTTCTTCAAAAACTGCATTACCTCCAGCATTAGTAATTGGTTTGTTTTCCTGCATCAGTGATAGTATTCTGAAGTAGAATGAATAGATGAAGGGAACATCATTCAGTTTCCAATACTGATCCTATACTGATATGTTTACTGCTTGTGTATAAAACGGTTCAGGTATATAAAATACTCTATTCTACTCTGTTGGGCTGTTTCAGTCTAGACCATAATGCTGAATCAATCCAGATTTTCACAATATGGTCATGAATGAATGTCACTGTTTGTCTGAATCTATAGAAACATAATTTCAAGCCTTGTAACGACACAATGTTATTATGCACCATTATGCACACCTCTGCTCTCCTATTGGAAATGTATATGTACATTTAAAATGTTCACTTTCCCATTTCCCATTTCAACATGAATACTGTGACTTACAGTGATTTAAAATTACTTTTCAACCTATTATATCTGATTTCTTTGAGCAAAGCTCAGAGGACCATGTGGCTGTGCAGATTTTCTTTGTTGCATATACAAACATAAAGGTCAAAGCCTTTATTCTCACCTAAACAGTTATCATAATGGCATTATTGTATTTTAATTTCTGTACTCAAGAATGTGTTCTAGTAAAGGTCAGGTGAATTTACCACCCATAAAAGTGCTCTTACATGCTTAGGTGAAGGTGTCATTTTTAAACACTGACTCTGTGCCTTCAACACATATAGATGGATGAAACACAGAAGTAAGAGCAGCAGCCTGGGGAGAAATTGTCTCAAGACTTGATGAGATTGGTGTTTAAATGTGGATGATAACACAGTTCAAAAACATCTATTTAAGTCTACACTGTTTTTGAATACAAAATACAACATTATATTTTTCTATTTTTATGCTATTACTCATAAATCCATAGGATTGAATATGTCTTTTCATGTTATTTATGTTTTTATTATTAACTGCAATCAATTATTAACTAAAATATTCCATCAATGCATCTGAAAACAAATTGATTTAACATCTTTTTCAGCTTAAACCTGATTTTGAATGTCTGAATTCAAAGGCAGAGGCTCTTCTTCATGTCCTTGGACCTGCTGTGCAGTTATTTATCTTTGCTAGAATTTATTTATGAAGATAAATCACCACCAGGTCCAGTTTCTCAAATGTCATCATCAGCATAAACATTAAGCATTTGACCATTTCTAAACTACTTTTATTATTATATATTTATGTGTTTGCTTCAGGGGTTTAAGTTAGCCACGGGCTAATTCAACCATTTAGCTAAAGTGGCTATCTTTATTTTATGTATTTCTGTCCTGATTATGCATCACCATGTTATGTTTAGGCTTTATTTTCTCACACACATGCTGTTCATTTTTCATCATATATTTCTTAAATATTACTATGTACAGCGAATCATGAAGTATTTCGGGCTCTTAAGCCTGGATTTGACAGTTTTTGGCACACTTTACATATCTGACATTGATGTTTATTGACATGATCAAATGTTTATTTATAGATTTATATTGTGATATAATTATTCCTTTGAAAATGAGACATGTATAAAGAGTTTTGATGGAACTCTTTAAATACTGATAGTACAGGAATTAAAACACCAGGCTTGGTACTTACAACCTTAATATTGACATTAATGTGAATTTTTTAATATCATTTCATTAGAGATGGTGTATTTAAAAACAGATTCCAATTTAATACCATTTCTTTACCCCATTAAAACAAACCAACAAAACAAAGAAACAAAGAAATAAACCTTTAGTTTGACTTTTCTGCAGCACCAACACCATTGACTGAAAAAAAATATATGTATGTCATCTAAAGGTTAAAATTGTGACTTAACAAGTAAAAAGAATTCGTAATAATAATAAAAAAAAATACAACTCACTTCTCAACATCTAGGGTTGGTGTTTCAGACCCAGCAAAGGAATAAAGAATTCCTAGTACCACCTTAATGGTCCCAGAGCCAAGTGCCCCTGGAAGAAAGACTCTTTAAGGCAATAAAAGCAATTTCCAAAGATAATTGAGAACATGTTTCAATACATATGCATGAAAAAAGGCTTTTGCCAGCGACTCATATGCCTCGGTAATTGATTGAGGGGATGACCTGTTCTATTAAATGTTATTTGAGAACCATCAAAACGTGCAAAAAATGTGCAAATTGCTCCAGCTTGTATGTGAATTAATACCTCATTCATCATCATTATGAGTTGATAAGTTAATTTAACCATTTCATTCTGTCTTAATGGGCTATAGTTGAATTAATGTCATGTAATATATGAAAGTAACATTTGAACAGAGGCAATGATTTGAGACAAACCCAGCAGAGACTACTTTAGAAGCATAATGGCTGCATAAATCTCATCAGGCTGCAGTTGGTTGATGTTGCTCGTTCTCTTGAACATTTTCGTGGAATATGTTTAACAGAGTGATGTGGAAATGGACCAACCTGAGGAGGATGTAGCCACAGTCTGCAGCAGTGTTGGCTGAATTTTGATTGATTGAGTCTGTTTGTTGATGGTAACAGCTGGCATGGCAGTTGTAAACACGGATGCATTCAATTCAAATGTGAGAACAATATGGTTTGGGATGCGAACCGAGGGACGTTCAAGTGTAGAAATCTCACAGTTGTTGGATAGAGGTTGTCCTCGACGGAGCAGTGCTTCAGGAAACTTTTCAAAGACTCAGCTCATACCTTCAAGGCTTCAAGATAATCTGAATAAAAATTACCGATGAATTATTAAATCTCACAGTTGTTGGTTCATTATCTGCCTTCATTTTCAATAGATAACTCACACAATAGGTGTGTGTTGAAACCTTACAGTTAGAGGCAAAATGAATATATTCAAAATAAATAGCTAGTGTTATCTACTTCACCAGAATTTTTCAGTTTACTCACATGAAATATTTAAGCTGTTTTATTATTGATAAAATCAATTTGATATTAACTAAGTTTATGCTAAAGCACTAAAGAGACACTAAAGCAGATGCAATAGGCCAGGATAGTCTACTAATTTATTAAGGAAAAGAAATCACTGGAAAGTTTTTTTTTTTGAGGAAAGCCCATGCTGACCTAATTCACAATATGAAAACTGCTCTTAAAACTGAACATCCAGACCCTTCTAATTGGCTTTGCTGTGCAAGCTGTACTGATGATAAACTGTCCACACTGATCATTGAATTCTGGAACGCCTAATGTACATACATATATATATATATAGTAAATATAAACAACAAGAACCAGAGAGTGGTTTAAGCAGTCTGTTTTACCAGTCCGATGTATTCTGATTGTAACCTATTAAAAGAGAATGAAGAGAATGTCATTTTAAAACAAAACAAATGTTAATTAAAAAAAACGTGGCCCAAAGAAGTTATTTTGTGACCCATCTGTGGGGCCCCAGCCAATCGTTTGAAAATGACCGATTTTAAAATTTGAGCCGCTCTCAATCTTTTTGACTTTACCGCTCTATGACCATGTTTGACCGTTGCAGTCAGGAGGTGTTAAAAAAACAAAACCAAAACAAAACAAACAAAAAAAGTTCCACCTTAAATGCATTTTTGGCCCCGCTCGCTCCCTGTAGTTGAGGGTTTTTGTCCTCCCGCAGCAGCTGTCACCCTGCATTACTCGCAGTCAGCTAAATGAAACATTATTCTAAACATATGCATCGTAATCAGTCCGGTCACACTTACAAGAACACGCGTTAATAAGGCAATCAATCACTCTGGAACAAGCAAGTTGTTCTGTAACAGCTCATAAACAGTGTGTAATGAAGAATTGGAGGTTAGCGTGACACGGCGCTGATCAGATAATCAATGTCAAAGATGCGATGAATGTCAGTAAATGTACTTTTCATGTCGTTTCTATAAAATCCCCAATTTACAACAAGCGGTTCAATTACCCTGAAAATACAGTCAATTAAACGGGGCTGATTGGACAGTAGGGGCAGGATCATCGATCTTTGCATTTCTATCTCGCTGCTGGACATTTAATTTGGTTTTTCTATTAGCACCGAAATAAAGAAAATATAAAATATATTAAACAAGCCAGAGATTTATTTTCTTGTCAAAAACCATTCAGTGAAGGTGACAGACACTCCTCTGCATTATGATGAATTCTGTTTTTTCTCCCCCCGCACTCTCGCACATTGGATACAGAACTAATCGTGTTATTGTGGCCGCTGTTTCCCTGCCCTCTTGTCTTGTCCCTTTCACACCTCCATCCATCTCAAGGCTCTTTGTTGCATGGCTTTACAAGCCTCACTGTTTTAGTCAAGAGCAAGGGAAACATGGCGATACATCACGCCCATATTTGCTGCCCCTGATCCTATTTCTATAATGGGGACGTTAAAAAAAACACAACTTATCTTCAAGTTCCCCCCAGGGGTTTTTTTCTGGAGAGGGCTATATTTTAGGCATGCACAATTAACGACAGTATCAGCTTGTATCATTTAGAGGTAATGTAAAAATAATGGTAAATTATAGGGCCAGAATGACCCGTGATGGCAGGCCTCATATTCCCCGTAGCTTTGCACGTAACACTTTAATTAATGTTTCACACGGTGTTTTGTGTTATAATGGAGGGGCATTTAATGGGGATCTATGTAGACACACACACACACACAAACACACACACACCTACATCCATCTATCTACATCTATATATATATAGATATAGATATATATAGATAGATGTTGATGTGTTTGTGTGTGCAGAGTTTATGTTGTATATAATATTACGTTATATATTATATATATTGTGAACACTTTATATATTTTTTTATCGTTTATATATAGCCATAGTATATATTAAATGTACTGATATATAAATATGCTAACTTTAAGGTATATAAATGTATTGATAATATATGTGGGCTGAAACGACCATAATATATATGATATAATATTAGTTTAGTAACCCGAATGTGTAAACAACCCAAACCATTTTAGGTTTCGCCTTTTTTTTTTTTTATACAAATGACGATTATGTTAAAATGTTTTTTAATTTTGTAATTGAGGAGTCTATTTATTATCACCAATGAAAACAACTGAACTCACTGACACTGAGTTTTTGATTCTTTTGTAATTAAAAAGATGCTCTGATCTTTTCTAAAAATGAATAATTAGTTTTTAAGAAATAAAAAACCCAGGTCAAAAAAATGTGTAAACATTTTTTTTATTTTCCAAGAACAAACACGATCAATAAATAACATGATTTTTTTTACATTTCATATTGCACATATTTCCCCCCAAGTTAAAATATTTAAATTCATACAGTCATTGATATTTTACATACAGTGATATAGTTACAACAGAGACTCAGGGACAACAAAAAGCCAATACTGTTTCCCGTCCTTTAATTGCAGCTCCTTCATCAGCCCTTAATCAAAGCCTGTTTTTAAGTGGATCACGAAATTATCCTTTACTTCAGTCTCTTTTTTTTCCCCTTCTTTTCTCCATTGAAACACAGATCATAAAAAGTGGACCTGTGGTGTGTTTGGGGACCAAATCGTTCAGCTGCTACAGTGTCCACCCAGTGTTTTAACAATAAAAAACGTGAAGCAAGTTTTACCAAATAAATAAATAAATAAATAATGGAATTAAAAAGTAAATTAATAAATATTGGGGAATAAAAAATAAATAACCCCCCCAACAAACTACCATTCACAGTTAAGGAAGTATTTCCCAGGCTGATCTTTACTCATGTCGTTTTCTATAAATAACCGCCATCAGTAGGACTTCTCATGATACTTAAAAAAAATCCACGATTTACAGTTCACATGTTTAATAATTAACATATTGGCTGATGTCCCAACAGGAACGAATAAAATAGCACGTAGCCATTTTTATTTTAATATTATTGTTATTATCATTTTTACAGGCGCAGACAGACTGTAAAGGCAGACTGTTCTCATCTCAGCTCCTGTCTTTGTGCTGACTGAGGAGCTCCAACCGGAAATACAGAGAAAATACTATATGAAAATACTGCCTCTGATATAACGAGCTTCAGCAGTGTAAACGACAAGGACAGTGAATGCATCATGGCATCCCCCATCATCCAGAAAAGAACATTTTGAGTGGGGGGGCGGGCGGGGCTTTATATGCTGCTGTGTATGGAACATATTTTAGCCTTTCCATTCGTCACATTTATACAGTGCATATTGGTCTATGTGTGTGTGTGTGTGTGTGTGTGTGTGTACCAGGACTGTCGCTTTGTTCCAGGTCTTTTGTATGTCTAATGACTTCCCTCCGCGGGTTGTTAGCACTTGACAGCGGGTCTCCAAACGAGGAACTTTCCTACAGCCACGTATTCAAAGAAGCTCCATCTAGGTACATGATTGGCAATTTTTGTCATGATCCCTTCATTATTAACATAAAAATTGACACCGAAGACGCGGTGCAAAATCATATGCACCTTCCAGCTGATTAGGAGCGTCCCCACAGAGCAGAGGCGGCTTTGCTGTCCAAAATCACAGTCTATTAGGCCTTAGTGAGGAGAGATATGCTGCAGAGCAGAAAAAGGGACAGGGCCTTCTGCTACATCTAAATTTAGACAGTATAATTAGCTTGAGTTTTTGTTTTCGGAACTAGAGGAGTGAAGGTATATAGCCAGGCTGGAGGATTATGGGATGTGACCCAGTCTTATAGCCACTTAAACTTTCATTTGTATATAAACAAATAAGATCCGCTTAAAATGGCGTCTTGATGTAGGTTTTGGACAGAATGAGTTCACTGGTTTTTTTTTCTCTCTCCCCCAAATCTGTATATTCAGCACAGTCCATAGAAAACTGGATCACTGGCACAAATGGCACAAGCCATTAGAAAAGTCTCTGTGAGTTGGAGGGATGAGGGTGACGAGCTTTTCTCGTCTTTTTGTTACACACAGAGATTTTTTTAATTAATTAGAAATTAATCTCCTCGTGTGTGTGTGTGTGTGTGTGTGATATTTAAAGTACAGGTCTGTGCCCCCACCGGCTAAAGTAGGACAGACGACAAAGTGTGCGTACTACGTGGGCTGCGTCAGGAGTTATCTGTTCAGTGCGCTCTCCTCTCTTTGGTCCGGCGACGGCACCGAGGTCTTGCTGAGCACCGCGGCAGAATAGGGCAGAAATCCACTCTCGGATCTTTGGCCGGACGCCGTGCAGGTAAAGTCAGCGCTGGCGCTCCTGGAGCCCTGCAGGGCGCTGGCCGCCTGGCTGCTGTGGCAGCTCAGACACGAGCAAGGCCCCGTGGCCGACGGCGCACTCACCGCCGCCGCGGCCGCCGCGGCCGCCGCAGCCGCGGATGCCGCCGCAGAGCTGTTCAGGCCCGCGGGCGACTGGTAGAGTCCCGGGTGCCTGAAGCTGCACAGGAGCTCCGGTCGGGAGTACGGGTGGGACAGCGCTCGGAAGGTGTCCAGGGGCCGGATGGAGGTGGCGAAGGGAGAGGAGGCCGCGCCGGTGGCGGCGGCCGCGGCCGCCGCCGCCCGAACGCCCAAGCGGGGGCAGCGTGCGAGTGGAAAGGGTACGGTAGACTTCCTGTGGCCGCCGCGTGCGTCATCATGTAGGTGTAGAAGCTGGGGTCTGCCGGATGAGGCCAGGACATGGCCAAACGCTGCCTTTTATCCTTCATCCGTCTGTTCTGGAACCACACCTGCACGTAAACACACAGGCGCGCACAAACACACACGCACACACACTCAAAGTCAAAACAAGAGCCATATTGAAGCTGCCATGTTGTTCTCATGAGCTCTAAATTTAGACCAGTGCCTGGTTAGAGATGAGGTCCAGGGTCTGGAAAAACACACTTTCATCCCTGTAGTCATATTAAAGCTGTCTTATAAACGTCCTGCACAGTGTTCGCTGCGTTAACCTCAGCCATAGGCTCACAACAATCCGCCATAATTTACAGTTAGCAATTATTTTAATATTCAGGAAAAATACACAGTTAAAGCTTTACATTTACACCCTCTACACGTTCAATTAAAGAAAAACAATTTCAAACGCCATTCAATAATTTGAATTAAGTACTCTCACTTTTAAGATAATTACACATTTTTGTATGGAAAAATGTCATATTTTTTTCTGACAGAAAAATTACAGTGAACAGTTGATAAACTATAAAATAAAAAACGTTTTCTACTTCCCCCGTTTTCTCCCTCAGCACAAATACACACACGCTTAAACACAGCAGATCTGTATAAATACACACACATATATCTATATATTTATACTCAGTATACACGGCTCTTACCTTAATGGTAGTTTCGGGCAGGTTTAGCGCTGCGGCCAGTTCACATCTTCTTGGTCTGGACACATAATTCTCCCGGTAAAACTCTTTCTCCAGGCGACCGATCTGTTCCCTGGTGAACGCAGTCCGGTACCGTCTGACCTGGTCCGCGTTGGAATTGTTGGATCCTCCCGAATTACCGTTCATGTTCGACAGGGAGCTGGAGCTGGTGTTGGACGTGGCTGAATTACTGTCTGAAAAGCCTGACAATTTAAAGAAAAAAAAAAATCCACGAATTATTTATAAAATCTGACCGTAGACAATAATAATAATAATAATAATAATAATAATAATAATAATAATAATAATAATAATAATAATAATAATAATAATAATAATAAACGAAATATTAATAAGATCAAACTGTTGTCTGTCTTTGTACAACAATAACAATATCAATAACAATTACAATAATAAAAAGTATTATTATTATTATATCGGCCGATAATGTTTTTATAAAGATTATTTTGTGAAAATATTAATAACAATAATAGCCGATTTAAGTCTATTTTATTCTGTAATAATAATATTAATATTAATAATAATAATGTTATTTACTTGTACGTGGACCAAAGCAGAAACAATATAACAACATCCGCCAGAATATCTTAGCATAGATGTCAAAACTAAAGAAATACCGAGTAAAAATAAAATAAAACTGACCTTTGTTGTTTTCTTTGTGCTGGCTGGGGGAGCGGTGCGACGGGCAGCCCACCTCCACATCACTGTTTATATCTGATTCTTGGGAAACTTCGGAGTAAAGGCTCATCTTCTTCCTGCTCTCCGACGAGGAAATCTCCGCCGACGAGCTGTTGTCGCTGCTGTGGTGCTGTGTGCCGAACAGACTTTCAATTTCGAACTTGCCCTTGGTCGGAATGTCCCCGAGATTTCCATGCAGAGACGAAGTTATTCTGGGGCTCAGGCGTCCTCCGTGCTGGGAGTTTTCCAGGGCCTCCAGCACTGAATTTCCAGGCGGGTCTGAGAGCCTCTTCCCGGCGACAGGACTGTGCAGACCTCTCTCCATCAATATCATCTCTTTTCTTATCCTCTCCATCATTAAGCCAGACGTTGCGAGACAAAAAAAAAGGAAAAGGAAAAAAAAAAAATAGATGCACGACACTTCTCCGAGGGGTTGGAGCACTAATGAGTTGTGTCGGGAGCTAAATCCGCATGCAACTCAAGCAACTCTCTCCAAAATAACTGTCTCTCTGCCTTCCTCTCTAAACCTTTTATATATAAATATATTAGCAAGACGCCAAAATGAAGAGAATCTGAATGCAATCGACGAGCGACTGCTCCTCAAAATGAGCCGAGCATCCTGAGCACATTCAGCATCAGCAGCAGCAGCAGCCTCAGCCTCAGCCTCAGCAGCAAAGTGTCATTCATCAAAAAGTGGTTGCTGTTCGTTGTTAAAATGCTCGGCTGACGTTGCTCCAATGATCATTTATTGTAACAGGTTTATAAGCAAATAAATAGGAGAGGGCTGTCACTTGATGATGGAGGCGGCCTTCGGTCAGACGAATAATATCCAAGTGGAGAGGAGGAGAAGAAGGAGTGAGGAGGAGAGGAGAGGAGAGCTGCTCGTCCCTGCAGGCTGATCTCCAGTCTGTTCCAGATCGCTCTTTTTGGGTTTGGCCTCTTGGGTGAAATTGACAAGTCTGATTAATAAAATGAGCGCAGCAACATTTCCCTCTTCATTTAGGAATATTATCATGCTTTGATTCACCATTGTTTCCCTCCCCTCTGTTTGCCCTCCCCCTTTCTAATCCGTCCTCTTTCATTTATTCTCCTTATTTTTATTTATTTTACCCTCTATTCCTGCCATTTAATCCCCAAGCAATGCATGTCAATGATGTACACGTTTTCGACGACACATTAAAATGAAACATTTAAACACACATTTGGACAGCTCGCTGACATTTATCCTGATTTTTAATTCTTATTTTGTTTCTCCTCTTATGTTGTGCTCTTTATTCGTCAAAGACACAATGTGATGTGGTGATCATGCTACTGTTATTACACACTGCCAAACAACAGCACACGTGTGGATTTTAAAGTACACACAAAACGGCGGTTTTAAAAGGCTGTTGCTCGGCAATTTTAAAATCAAATAAAAAAAATATGTACAACCATAGGCGACTGTTTGATATTTATCAATTTATAACATTCGTTTCATAGCTCATTCTTGTGCATTTTAATTAACAGGAAACACGATTTTAGACATTTTAACCGAAAAATATACGATTAATCATCGTTTTTAATGAAATACTCCACGGTTTAACCATTACAGAATATGTTTGATTTAGTCTCTGTTAATCTTAGTCTTATAGACCACACCAGAGCTTTGCTATTTTAGTGTATTTTTCCGATTTATCGAAAATAACATGGTTCATGTCCGTGCGGTCGCTTAATTCTAACCAGGTCTGAATGTGTAAAGACATAACAGCCATGTATGAACTCCTGCTCTCTCTCACATTGTCCACAAACGCCTTCAGATAATGCTCCTTACGTTCTTTGGCGCCCTCTGTAGGATTTTAACGCGTATTGCAAGCACTGCCACAATGGCTGGGACATCGGGACGATTCCTAAGTCTGGGGCCTCTCATACTGTACTGATGCTATTTAGCGTACACATACATACAAGGGCTAATTATTTAGCCAATACATTGGCTACTGGTTCAGATACTTGGTTATTTATTTATTTTAAAATACTTTATGGTTCAACCATTTATTATCTTAGACAACGTTTTTTTTTAGCTCCTTTAGGACTAACTTTTTGCCAATTCAATTTTGATACTTTGAATATATTTTATTTATCTTATTCATATCTAACCCAAAAGCATATACGTGTGAAAAGTTTATTACTCACCTCATTTAATGTATTTATATGTATTCTTTAAGCCTACAGTTAATTTACATAGAATTAATGTATTTGCTTTCATACTTGGCCAAAAATCTGATTATGGTTTTTTGACTCAATGGAAAACTATGTTGACCCTGAACATAGGATAACACTTCAACAACAATATCAATAAAAACAGCTATGTACATAAAAATATCAGTTGGCTGACCATCTAACAAAGGAATTCAAATACTAATTTTCTCCCCTACCTACCATCTATCATTTAGCTACTAACACTGTCAGTTTAACGTTGGTGTCAGGGAGAAGGTGGGAACCAAGTGCAGCACTAGAGAGGCAGGGACCAGTTTCAGGAAGTTTATTCATAACACAAAACTTACACATCCACTTACTGGACTCTCAAGACCTGGCAGGAACAAACAGGATCTCAGGGCAGCAAGAAGACAAGGCATGGACATCAAGGCATAGACTGAACACCACAATGACCCAACAAGGACTGAGGAAGAATAACTAAATATACAACCAGGGCCCCAGGTGACAGGAGTGAGACTAATGACAAAGACACAGGTGAATGTGATCACAGTAATCCACTCAGACACAGGCATGAAGGGAGGGAGACAGAGCAAGAGTCAGATCATAGTGAATGTATGTAGTATAATTTGCTGCGTACTCCAGGAGTCGATCAAGTACAACTATATGTGTATGTGTGTATATCTATATATAAATTCTGCATTTTTCTGTTTTCTCTTTAGTAACAGGATACATTCCAGCACCACAATGCAACAAAAATAATTCCAATAAGCCATATAAAAGTTTTAGTCAATTGTTATTGTGTGTTGTGAAGTATTGTGTCGTCTCTAGGTGTGTAACTTTCCTTTTTTGGCCTGTAAGAGGTGCTATAATACACGTTTGAAAGCTCCAAGTTTCATGTAAAACATTTTCTAGAGGGAATGAGGAAAACATTCAGGATAATTTGAAATTGAGCACTAGATTAGCATCCTCCTTCTTAGGGCTGTTCAAAAATATTGTATTGTATGTGTGTGTAATTACTGCCACCTAGTGGGTCTTTTATACACTGGGACATTTTTCATCTAGAGAACGTCCCTGATCATTTGCAACAGAAGAAAAAAATATTACAAAGAGAACGTAGTACCGTAGCTGACATTTACATGACCAAATACTTTGTGTGATCTGGTATTGATTTACTTGATTCTAGTATTTTGTCTGGCTTAGTGTTTTTTAGTGAACAAAAAAAAAAATCAAGCAAAACAACACAGCACATCATTAACTTTACCGTTTAAACACAGGGGTCTGTAAAACAACTGGTCATTTGTTCACGTATTTAATTTTAACTATAAGGGTTTAACTGTATTTATTGTGATCTATACACCTACCTGTCATCCATCCATCCATCCATCCATCTTTTTCTGTGTAATTCAGAGTCCCACACTGTAAAGATCTGCAGCTGTATATTTAAAACCAACTTTGTGTATTTTTACATGTATGTATGTATTTATTCATTTATTTCTGCAATTGTTCATTAGCTATGTGGTGTTTCTAAAATTCACCACGTATGAGGAAAGTCAAAAGGACAAATTGAAAACAATCTTTATTTACGAAAACAACAACGTTGTAGCTGACAGTGACAATGACACTGTGAGTAATCCCTGAAGTTTCACTCTCTTGAATCTGAAAGATAAGGAGCAGATATAGAAACAGACGTTAGTCAGTTAAGGCCTGCAGCCTGTACTGGGTTGTTTTGTTTTGATTTAAAAAATTAAGCCACCACGTGTTATCCCATTACACCTTAAACATGGGAAGTGAAAAAACAAGTGAGCCAATGGATTAAATCAATCTCACTTAAAATATCTTTAAAAATATGTGATAGTACACGATTATAATACACACAACATTACCCTTTATTGTCCAGAATCTTATTTTGAAACAATAAAGAAACCCTTGATGAAACATGCATAAATCGCCAATAATTATTTAATTTCTTCGTTCCCCTGTGAAACGTAACGAACGTTCTTGATTTTTTTAAACAACACCAGGTAAAATGAGAAACAGTTCCAAATTTGTCAGCTCTGATCAAACTTTAGTCGTTTCAATGACACGTGAGCGTTCCACAACTTGACTATTGCTCGGTTCCAGTGTCACGCCGCTAGTATCTGATACGTTAACCGAGATTGCCATCTAGTGGCTACTATTTGTTAATGCAACTGGCTGAACCAGTGAACCAGAAGGTTAAAAAAATCCCAAGTCCACAATATATGTATTTATATATAAAAAAAGTGACTTAGATGCAGTTGAGTTGGTCTGGAACTGTAAAACTTGGCATCCATGTGGTTGGAGAGGATTTTGTGGAAAGATCAAATTGCCTTATGGTCGAACATTGAGGACCAAAAAGTGATTAATGAGGACGTTAATTATAGATTTAACGTGTGGGTTCAACCCTTCCTCTTCAATATGTAATTAATGTGGGAAAACAAATAACTCAGTCATGTTTTTTATTAAATCTGTCATCATCTATTTTGCTTTAACCGCTGACTTTGTTCCCATATTTTTCTCACCATTAATCCGTGGCTAAAAATTATATATAGATTCAAAATGAGGGAGAAAAAATAAAAATGGTGGGAGCTGATTTGATGTTACAGTTGAGATAAAAACAAAAAACGAATGATTAAAAACAGCGTTAAATTTGCACTAATGTTTTTCTCCGTCGACCAAACAGTTTTACTGAAGAGTAAGAAAATAAAACAGTGGTTACTGTCTAGATTAACGTGAGGTATTCATGCTGTTTTTGACCTGTATTACTTTTATTGTCGATTTATCCGAAAGTCACCGTCAAAATATGAAAGGTGGCGCCTGCAACTGAAAAAACATAGCATTTTTAAAATCATTTGTTTCGCCCATAAACCGCCTTTTTTTTTTTTACCTGTAGTTGTTTTAGAACAAGAGAGAAGAGACATTTACTTCACCTGTTTTTTTACGTGTCTTTTACGTTCTTTTTTGGTTATAACATTTATATAAAACGATGGGACGACTATCAGAAATACTTCACTTTGGTTACCTTTTAGTAAAATGGATACGATGACGACATTACATTGATAGTCGTTCAACCAATATAAGAAGCGATGTTTACACAAATTAATATCTGCTCTACTGACAAAAATTGTCTCGACATAAATCCAAATATATAGGAGTTTAAAATTAGCAGAACTTAAGGTTTAAATGGCCTAAAGTTAGCTTGTGATGCTAACAGGCCAAGCAAACGTTACACAACGCTGGCAAAGTACGTATATTTTATTTTTGGTCTAGAATAAAATAAGATATGAGTAAATGCCTTATAATATAACGAAATAACGAATGGCTAGCTGAATTTGGCCAAATAATAAGAACATTATGACAATGTAATATCTTTAAGAACTGATTGGCTAATGGTGGGCAGATGAGACAGCCTCAAGTATAACCATTTAGCTAAGAATAATTTGAAATGTATAGATACATTTAAAAAATCAAATTACTAGTTACAGCTAGGTAAACCCTAGCTAATTAAAAACCCATGTAGACAAAACAATAACCAAAAGCAAGCTAAATATGATATATAAATGAATATGTAAAAGAATACCCACGTTAGCACATTTGGTATCAAATATCTATAAAACGTTTCAGCAAAAATGTGATAATAATTACCTTAACATACCCAGTACAGCCGGTATTAAAAGCAGTTGCAATAGATAGCTACTTATTACCAAAATTAGTACTGTAATAACAAATCTTTAGTTATTAGCCACGGAGAAAGCCGTGATTATAAGTAGGTATCAGTATTTCAGAAATTTGTCTTGAAGGCTCACCTAACTTTATTAGGCCAAAATGTGGGCAATATGGACAAAATGGACATCCCACTAATAGCTCTAGGTTAGCCAAACTTCCGGAATACGCAAAGGAACGAAAAGATGCGTAAAATGTGGCCAATAGATGGTTTTGTCTGATAAGTTGAAAGTTCGGCATATGTAGTTATAGCGATATGTTTCAATACATACATATATATGTATATAGTACAAATAATGCTATACTGTACCTCTATATGTTGGATCATATTTGGACACGTTTCGTGGGTATATATGTATGTATGTATGTGCATACATATATATGCATTATATTGGATTTTTGTCGTTTTTACTACGTTGTCTCGTTTACTATAACAAAACTATTGTTTGATTGTTTGTTGTTGAATCCTGGTATTTGATGGTATTTGATGTTTGGATTTTTACCACATTTGTGTTTTTCTACAATAACACCAAGATGTTACTAGGTTCTAAAATATAGAGATGCAGTGTTATTGGAGTAAACCCATAATTGTTTCGATTTCGTGTTTGTGTTGATATTTGAGTTTTATCGAGGGACAAAAGCACTTCGCCAGTGGTAAACTTCAATTAAAAAAACTTCTACTTTTTCAACAAATTACACATTTCAGCTAAATGATAGAAACTAAATGATAGCTAAATGATAGAAACACATATAAAAGAAAGTGCCTCTGGGACGCACTTTCTGCAGCATTTTCTCCAGAATTGCAGTGCCGTCATTAAATGTTTACCTCCTTGTACCTTAACAAAGCCGCATTGGGACTCTTTTAATGGAACTTATTCAGGAAATTTAAAGCAAAAGACGCCGGATTCCCAATCTGATCTACATGCCATTCATTAAAATGGTAGTTTATAGTGTGTTTATAATTTGTTTACCTGTGAACGGAGGCTGGTGGGAGATGTCCAGGTCGACAGATTTTCCTATTGATGCAGGGTGGTCATTTCAGAAAGGAACCAGAAACCAGTGTTTCTCCCTCTCCCACATATGAATGTTATTTCCGTTCACTCTACTGTCGAAACTAAACATACAGAGCAGAAATTCTCAATACGTCTGTACATCCTGTGTGAACACACACACACACACACACACACTCTTTTTCAATCACCCACACGATAATCTGCAGGGATTTCAACACTTTGGATAGGAAGGAATGGAAGCAACAACATTTCTGGGCCCAAAGAACTTGAACGAGGGAAGAAGGAGGCAAGTTTATTACCAAGGACAATAGACGGCGGATGGCTTCCTTCAAAGGGCCCGAGGAAAGCAGTCAGACTGTGGGGATCCTCAATTTGGCTCCTGGCGCACTAAAGGAGAAGGACGCAGAGCAGTAAAAGACACTAAAAGTGGACACTAAAACGTCTCCTTTTTTAATTGGGGGAGTCTGGCTGGTTTTTGAGGACAAAAAAAGCTGCAGAAGAAGAAAAACATTGAATCCTAGGCGACACAGAAAAACACAAACACAAACACTTTCAATACCAAGTGCATTTTCGTTTTTTTCCATCCCAAAGCCTTTTCTCCTTCATTGTAGATTTAAATAATATTTGTACTCACACCTGACTATACTAACAATTAATATTCTTTAACCTGTTTTAGTAAAAGTCCGATAATATTGTTACGATTGCGGTCAAATGTAATATATCTGTATTGCAGTTCTCTTTACCGTGAATGTATATTAAAAAACACTTTAAGGGCTTAGATATTATACTATTTTGACAATTATACGTGTGTTAAGAGAATTAAAAATAAAAACAGGTTTCTCATGTTTTTACATCGTCAGAACAATGCCAATTTGCCATAAATGTACCTCATAATGTTCAACTGATGCCTTTTTCTGTCGTTTTGAAAATATTTTCCCTCCTCATAGGTAAGAAAAACAATACAATGAAAATATTTTGATCAAATCTTACCGTGCGTGTACCTGTATAAACAATACATTGAATCACACACTGTGAAATATAAAATTGAATACAACTAAGAATTGAGACGCTCATTTATCTAAGTTTCTGATCCACCGAAAGCGTTCAGTCAGAAACAAGTTAGTCTTCAAATAAACCGCACTGTGGTTTATTTATTTTTTCTTCGTATTCAATGGTGAAACAGGCGAATATACGGTTGAAAGATCATTTACTAAAAGATAGAATATAGAAACTGGATAACGTGTTATTTAACATTTTCAACTCCACATTCACCTTACATCTAAAAGGTTAACAATATAAATAAACATAATAGTATAATATACTTAAGGTTTAGTCATGGCGTCTGATACTGCAGTTGTTTCGGTCTCACCTCGCCGTCAAAAGATACATTTCTGATGTGAACAAATCGACTAACGCCGGTAGAACTATAGTGGTGTAAACCTTTATGTGGAACACCTCAAAGCATCGTAGTGTTTATATCCACTGCTACAGATAATTCATATTAGGATATAAAAAATAATATATATTACATCTGTAATACTGTGTCCTATTATTAGTTATAATACGGTAGGCATTCTTCAGATTATTTGGGTTTTTTGTGGCCAACTTCTTTCCTAAAACGATGTCTCTGTTCTCTGGTTCCTTGGAGAGAGACCCAGAACCTGGAGGGAGTGACTTGCATCAAACCCAGTCTCATGTTTGTGTGTGAGTGAGTGTGATCTTGTCTTTAACCTTCATCATTAACACTGCTGTTGCGCCACATGATCACGTGACCATGCCCTCCCTCTGCCGCTGACATTAGCACTGTTTTTAATCCGGGGGCAGTAAATTTGTAGCTGCTTCGGTGATCACTGAAGCGCCGATGATGTTTAATTGAAGAATTAAGACATAGGCTGCTGACAAACATTGGTGAGCATAACAGCCAGGACAATATGGCAGAAACAGGAGGTCATGTATGAGCCCATACTGCCACCCATTGGAGAACAGCCGCAACAGTCAGAGTGTTTGCTTAATGGGGCATATTAGTGTGTTTTAAACACATTTCTATCTACTTTAACCCTAAATGCCTGCTCGTGTTCAACTGGTGGGATGTATAAGGGGGTTTTGTTTTATTCAAAAAAAGAAAATTGTTTGGAGGGGTATTCGATTTAAAATTGCTATGTTTGAGAGTCAATGTTTGTGCCTGAGAATAAACAGTTCTGACTCAACAGTATTGTATCCAAATACCCACTGGGGCTGCAACAAACACATACTTTTATAATCAGATGATTACTTATTGGGTCACATGATTTGATCTTGAAAATTCAGAAAAATAATGAGAAATATTGACTATAGCTTTCCCAAAACGTTGGAATGACACATCCCTCGGTTATTTAAATCAATGGTTAGAATACGAAAAATACGAAACTGAAACTATTTTGTTTTTAATTCGTCTAGGAACTCATTTAATAACAAACAAGTAATCGACGAATCCTGAAATAGTCGCCACAGGCTTCATATAAATCTACATCAACACATGCACTGGAGAAACCTGTAAAGATACGTCTCCGTGTTGTCCTGTAGTTTAACCATGAGCTGCTAATGTCTGTCTCCATCATAACTTCAACTAAAGTCTCACGGATGTGTTTCTGCCTCATTAGTACCAAGTTCCCGGCCCTTATAAAACAGCACTGAACCCTAAACAACAGAAGCTCATACACGAGACTCACGACTAACTTCACTGAATGATCACTTTTGTAATGAATAGTCGACTAGTTGTTAAGCAGCAAAGAAATGAAAATATACAGGGAGCAAAAATATTCACGTGTAGAAAAGAAGATTATCAAAAAAACGTTGGGAATTAGTTTGGTAGCACCATCTCCCTGCACCACACACACACACACACACACCACACACACGACATTTTCAAATTCCATTAAGGAAATTAGATATTTGTTCCTGGAAAAGATGAAAACGATCTTCCCAGGTGACAGCTTCAACCGTTTATAGTTTTAATTTATTTGATACAAGTTTAATTTACAATATTAAATGAGCAAATAAACAGGAACATTTCCACATTTTAGGACAGACAGAAGTCAATGGTGATGAATACTTCATCAAAACACACACTCGACACAAACTCTTACATCTAACAGTGATTCGTTTACGTCTAACATTTACATTATTGTCCATGGCCTTAACGCAATCCAGAGTATTAACAATTCCTACACCGTAAGAGTCTGATTAAAGTGAGAATTATAATAATTTTATTTTGTATATGGTTATTAGAAACAAGTGCGCGCAACACACACACGAAATTCAAATTACGAGAAGATACCAATGCAGTACAACGTGAATACTGCCGTGTACACATTATTGTAGTAAATTAATCCACATAATTTAAATTGTATAAATTATCAGACACATTAAATACTTGATACTGTTAATATTGGAATATAATATTTTCACACTGTTGACAAAAACCGACTGGTCGACTGTTTTTCTGTGTATACATAGTATTTATCAGAATAACTTGTTTATAATTATTGTTTATTTCAAATTAATCGTCTCCATTTATAGTTCCAACTGAGGCCAATAAGAGCCATGACAAAATGTGACCACAAATTCTTTGTCATCATTTTTCATTTTTTTGATATCGTGGTTGCATTGCGTAAACTCTTCGTTGTTGTTGTTGGCTTTGCCTGAAGCTGTAAAAGTCCGTCTCGCAGGAAACAAAATCCTAAAAAGCAACATGAAAGAAAAGGAGAGATTTTAATACCAGTGAATCCGGTCTGGACGTGACAGGTGGTTTACGCAGAGGTAAACAAAAAAATGTCTTAAAAAATAAATCCCTTATATTCACCAACTCTTCGCGGTGTTAAGCCTGTCGAAGTGTTCGCTCCGGAACAAATTCTTCTCTCCTTAAAGAATCGCCGTGAATATTTCATCATATGTGTTGTTCTTCAGTCCACTTCTGCCTCCGGCCGCAAAGACGGATAGAGGCCGCATTGTTTACCAGGGAGGGGGGCAGCATGAGGAGTAAGCACCTCCAGGGCTACAGTGTACTTTGAAATAAAGCAATGAAGCTCCAACGTGTGGAGCTTATGAGACTTAATGTGGGAAAGAGGAGATTTTTATGACTCTGGGGGTGGTAACTAGTCTACTTGTTGTATTTGTATGAGATTTTTTTTTCTGTTGAAAAAGAAATGGATTAATTGTGTACTGATATAATAATAATGACTTTAACATGTCTCCATGAGGCGTACACTGTGTCCCGGAGTCTGCCGTGGTGCATTTAAGGACCGTATCCTCGTATAGCCCATACGTCTACGTCTATAGAACCAGGCTGTTATTGTTCATGCTCGCAGTACTGACATCAAATCATCGCTCTCAGACGAGGACCTCCTGACTTTGACACTGACGCGGGGTAAATGCTGCTGAGATATTCCAAACAGTTTTTCTGTGTAAATATAGACCACAACAATTTCACTCAACCCCTCCACCCAACAAACACACACAAAAAATATTTCCTCGTGGACTATTTGGCTTTGCAGTGTTGGAAGCGAAAGGGTGGAGCGCAACAACATATTTTGCATATCACGTGACGGCGTATTAACAAATCAACAATTACCTTCCCTTTATTCTTCAGGAGTTGCTAAAAGGCTTTGCAAGAAGCGTTTGAGGGAAGCTCCATGGAAATGTGCGAGCGGAATCCCTTAAATCCTGGCTACGTTGGTTCGCTCTTGAATTTTGCGCCACCTGAGTCGCTGTATTTCTCCAACTTGCGGGGCAATGGAGCCCCCATACCCGGGCTGCATCAGATCCCTTACAATAGGAGAGAGGTATGCACGCTCCCGTGGACTTCCTCAAGTTCGTGCACGTCCAGACCAACACCACCGCCACCACCAGCTCCAGCACCTCCACCACCGACAGCAGCGGCGGCGGCAGCTGCCGCGGCTGCAGCAGCGGCACAAAGCCGCGCCTTTGGGGGCTACTGTCCGCCGTTTCTGTCCAACGCCGTGTCCGGGAACAGCGGCCCCTCCGGCGGCCACGTTAGGGCGCATTTGGAGGAATCCTTGCGGTGCTTTCAGGACACAGAACCCAAGGCGGAAGCGCCTGGCAGACAGGATGATGTTTACGCCGGAGAGCACATGAGTGACGTCGGATACGCGGACCTGCACGGTCGTTCTCACGGTTCTGCGGCCCAGACAGATCCAGAATCAGCAGGGCCGCTCAGTGTGAGCAGCACCAAGCAGGAGCACAATCCCCTCGCACCAGCGAGCAACACATGCTCCAGAACCAGTTATGCTGAAGGTCAAGTATAGGCTTTATTGTTTGTTTTTGTCCGTTAGAAATGCATCTACAATTGAACATTACTTCATCCAAACCTACGTGCCATTAAAGATGTGGCTTAGGGTCAAGTGTGTGGACGTGAGGAGCTGTTTAGATCAACTGTTAGTTCCTATCCCCATTAGAAAAGCCAGGGCTTTTCTTTATTGCTTGATAATATTACAGCGATTATATTAGAACACATTGTTTTCATTGTGATATCATGTGACCGTCCCGGACTTCACTGGTCAGTTAACGTCTCCTCTCTTGTATTTTATTGCTTCTACAATGTCTGGTCAAAAGCTACTGTTCATAGTAATAATAACAGCACGATTTGTCATTCACGCTGGGGCGTGTCATCCATATTTCCTTGGGTTATGAATAGCACTGTCATAGCATTAATATTTATTTCTCTCAGGTCGATGTAACTCTCGGTAAAGTTATTGATGTGATGATTTTTAAACCTTAAAAAAATCCCATCTGCTCCCTCCCCCGTGCAGGCGCCCCGTGGTGCTCGTCGCAAGTGAGAATCAGAAAGAAGAGGAAGCCTTACTCCAAGCCTCAGCTGGCTGAACTTGAGAATGAATTTATGATGAACGAGTTCATCAACAGACAGAAACGAAAGGAGCTCTCAGACAGACTGGACCTCAGCGACCAGCAGGTGAAAATATGGTTTCAGAACCGCAGGATGAAGAAGAAGCGCCTCATGATGCGCGACCAGGCCTTCTCTGCGTACTGATGACCTTTGGACTTGATCGTGACCAGCAACAGCAACAGCACAGATTATGTCATGTTGTAGCATGGATGAAGCAGCAGCAGCAGCAGCAGCAGCAGCAGCAGCACAACAAGCCAGGCGCCATGTCAGTTTGGGGGCGCTGACTTGTATTTTCACATACTGGTAAAATGGCTGTTTAGTAGCCACGTCATAGTCCATGCTTTACCAGACCACAGTGAAGTAGATACAAGATAGTGTTTCCTTCAAATGCACACATTTCAAAGAACAACGCAGTTTGGTCATTTTCTGGACTGAAAGTGTACAATTGCGCACGGAGGCCCTGGTGTTCCGGAGGCGCAGTAACGTTTAAAACAAACCTCAAACAGGAATTTGTTTCTCTCTCTTCCAGCACAAATATCAGGTCGATTTTAACAGCATCAATGTTGTGTCTGTTTTTCTGTATTTTGTATGATGGTCCTGCGCATGTCGTGGAGGCCTTTTATGTGAAAGCAAACAGTCAAGTTCATGTTTACGGATGGATTAAAGGTAAATTTAGAAATATATTAAAGGTATATATTACAGCTGCATGTCTTATCTCCTGTCGTATTATTGTAAGTCTGAATTAAAGAATTAATTAAAATAAAAAAAATATTTGATCTGTATGTGGCCGCTTCCACATCCAAGGTCGGTGTGTGGAGTGAAAATGCGGCGGAAATAGTGGTAGAATGTGTTTACTGCAAGTGTGTGTCCACCGTCGTGAGTCTGTGGATGTGAAACGTCTGTTGTGTTACGTAAATCAACATTGTACCTGTGCTGAATTAAGCGTATATTTTGACTGATGTCACCTTTTCTTCTGTTTTGTGTAACTCCAAACCTGAATGTATCCGGTCATATGGGTTGATGACACAGAAATGCATTGAAATGATTATGGCTTAAAAAAATCCCTCCCTCATAATTATACTTGATAAATAGTTAATTAAAAAAGATTTAACATTTGGATTTCATTTAAAAAAATTAAATAAAGCATGTTACTGGTGAACAGATATGTGAACGCGCCCTTTGGGCCGTTCTTTTTACGCACGAACTATAGAGATATTGTAAAGCAGACGCAAACTGAGATTGAAAACATTTATAAATAAAGAAGATTTTAAATGACATGTGACTACTTGGTGGTGCGTTATGGGTCTCATTTAATTAAACTTTTACATATTTGTAATATAATTCAAGCTGGACTCCGTTTGCGCGGAGACTGTTGTAAATTGAGTCGGCAAAATTCAGACAGTCCCTTGCGTTTGTCGCTAATTTCTTGTGTTGTTCCTGTGTTTATCTATTTAAAAGACAAACACAGATAATTTAGGGTTAAAAAATATCAATGCTGATTATTTAGATAACATTTCCAGGGAATTCTGTCGGAAAACCGTCGATAGTTTGCGGCGGTAAAAGGTAGAATAACCCACGCGGCTGCTCCTTTTACGTCACTACAGCATTAATAAGATGATATATAGAAGTAAAAAATATATGATATTGTAATGTTTACTTCTTATAAATTTAGTATTATTTTTACTGATTTTTTTTCTTGTCTTAAACAAACAAAAACAAAAAAACCCAGAACGAGTATTTACACTTTGACTCGTTACTCGCACGTTAGTCAGTGTTTACAAAAACACTGACACACTGCTGGTTACTCTCGACATCCACACACGTATATGTGAATATTTAAAGGTTTTCCTCATATCTTTGCTCGTGTGCAGCTTCTGACTTCGTTGCAGATGCCTGATGCTTCCTCAAGCATAAACGCAGCAGCAGCAGCAGCAGCAGCAGCAGCGGCAGCCACAACAAGCACAGCAACGACGTGAGAGAGACGCCGG